AAAATAAAAAGCTCCTTTTCAGACGCTAAGGAAACGGATTAGGTGTCTCGAATGAACAATGCAATTGTTTTTTTTCGTAAATTTGTTAAACAATGGAAACGGATAAATTCGAGGAAAACGCGACAAGAGAGAGGAATCATATTCAGTCGCAACGTTGACCTCTCCCGCGCCCTTCATTAGGTTTCGAATTGTCACCAGGTGACTATGAGAGACCAATGGAGAGGCAACGACGGTTAAGAAATCTATAAAACCGTGCGACTCAAGGGACAAAGGTTCTTGGTTCATAATTCTTGGTTCATAGTTCTTGGTTCTTGGTGTTCCTCTCCAGGATTTTTGTGATCCTACTTATCAACAGCGACCGATTCGTCAACTCCTGTGACTTAGTGTCGCTCTCCCGTGACGTAGTAATTTGCACGGATTGCCAGAGACTTTCGCCGAAGCTGTGCCGCACACCCTGGTCTCAACGTCGATCTCAACGTACGACATCGAAGGATCAACGGAGAAAGTCGGACCCTTGAAGGAACTTTTAATTTGTTCCTCGAGCTGTGTTACGTTGAAAATTTGAAGAACGTTGTAAGAATCTTTTGTAATATAATAAACGGGTTAAAAATGGTAAACCTGTCTCAGAAAGTCATTCTGCGCCCACACGACAGAAAGAACCGCTTGGCTGTCGAAAAATCCTCACCCTAATCGGCTGACCTCACAGTGGTGTCAGAAGTGGGATTATTGTGCCCAAAGTTACACTGGTGGGAAAAGGTAGTAATACCGTCCGCCAGGATCTCGAGGAAGCCGATATGAAATTGTGGGAGTGAGGAAGAAAGGTGCATCAGAACATGGCCACTGAGACAGGTGCCCCATCTGCCCCATCGCAAACGCAGGAGGTAGGCGAAGGTTCAATCGCAGCGTTAGGGGGAATGATTCCCACCTTCAACGGTGAAAGCGGGCGAGTCACCGACTTTTTCGATACATTGGATGAAGTAGCTGGGCTAGCGGGATGGACAAAGCGACAAAGTTTAAGCATTGCAAAATGTAAATTGGCAGGCGTTGCCAGAGATTTCGCATGGAGAGACATGCACATGAAAAGTGTCGAGGAATACGAAGAGTTTAAGCGGTTAATGGTGAAGAGATTCGATCGCGTACCGTATTCGATGCGAGTGCAGAAATTCCACGCTTGCGTCCAGCGGCGCGAGGAAAATGTTCAGGAGTTTGCAGTCAGACTACAAACTCTAGCCAACGCCACGACGATCGAACACACGGGAACGACAGAACAGGAGCGCGCAATCATAAGGCAATGTCAGCAACGGGAGCTGGATGAAAAGCTTCGCGTGCAATTTTTATANTTTATTTATTTTTACAGGGTGGGTTAAGTGTACTGTACCTAGGTAACCTCAATGATGGCACTTTGGACTGTTCGTGATTCCTGTGGACTCCTCCTGGAGGGGAGCCACCGGCAGGCCGCCCTTTGTTTAATGCAGCATTTCTCAAAGTGGGCAATAACACCCCCTTGTGGGCGATGAGTAAATCTAGGGGGCGCTAGGGGCAGGGTATTGAACAGTGACCAAAAGCAAAATTGGGGTTACTGAAAGCCATTCCCTTTCTTCTGTTAAACTGATAAGAGGAAACGTTGCGTTTAATGGTTTCCAGATGCTGAGAACAATGTACAGTAAGGGCACAAAGTATGAGATTCATAAAAAAGTTTTCCTAAGAATATTTCCAATCCTTCCTCATACAAGAGAAAATGGGTTAGGGGTGTTGGGTATAACTTTATGGAACAAAGGGGCGGTGGATCAAAAAAGTTTGAAAATCACTGGTTTAACGTCATTAGTTATTGATTCATGGTAGTTCTTGAACAAAAGAAAAAAAAGGAAATGTCTACTAAAAATGTAGTTAACCTAACCAAACTAGCCTAACCGAAGCACCACCATTGGAGTTACCTAGGTACACTTTAACCACCGGGTGTACTATGGTGGCATTTCGAATTACACAAAATCATTTTTTTTACACTGGCACCTATTTGTAGTACATAAAATCAGTTCAGTCTAGGTCAAACTAGTTAAGCCTAAAGTATTTAGGCCAAACTAGATTGTCCTAGGCTAAACTAGTATATCCTGACACTCATAGGATAAACTAGATTGGCCTGTAATCGGGTTTGGCCAGTAACATATACATACAGAAATGATCATAATCAATTTATTCAGAGAACAAGTTTAAAAATATGAAACAATTAGAACTGCAAATTAAATTTTATTTTAGGAAATTAATTTAGTTTAGACAAATGCAAATTGAAGTAGAATCTAAATCAAAGAAAAGACTGATGGAATTAAAAGCTAAAGAACACTGTAGTTCATGAGAGACAGAATAGAGGCAGAAAGATTGAAAACTTTAAGTTTTAAATTCAAAAAATTGAGCTAAAGTTGCTAAGCCATTGTTTTCATAAATTGCAGGCAATAGCAGTTTTCTTCTTCAAATGCAATAATTTTATGGAAGTGTATACTTTCAACTTATCAATCATGATGTTTGGTTTACTGAAGTCTTTGTTAGCCACAACAATTTCCTGTGACTTTGACACTTATAGAATCATAATCAGGGTATTTTGTGGCATAACCAGTTAGTGATAAGTTTTTGTTCTGACCATTACGAAATACTTTTCCATAAAGTGTACCCTCTTATATGATATAATAAATATATCTATTTGAAATCATTTTATTTAGTCATTAGTAAATGTAAAATAAGTCAATGATTACAAATATGATTTTACAAAAAATAGATTATTAAATTTTTAGTTTAATTAATCTACAATCACATGCAGTTTTTTCCACAAAACTGCATGCATAAGATGGCAATTTTCCTCTGATTTTTCACATGCATTTATGCTATACATAACTGCAGTCCTTTGAATTTGGTGATTCTGAAGAAATCTGAGATTGTGTATGTACAAAATTTCAAGATCATACATTGTTAGTTTATAACATATTGTTTTGTTTACAAAACAGTGTCTCTAACACTTTGTAATAATGTGGACTAATGTGAAATGAATTCAGCTGAGGAAATGAATGATGGGAGGGCTGAGGTATTTTTCAGAAATACTAGAAAATGATCTTTCTGTATTTTTTGGGCATGAAATAAATGAAAAAAATTTAAATTGTTGAAGATCATAGTGTCTTAGCTATTTTATGAAGACAAGCATTCAAGGTCATAGTGATACCAATGTCATGATATCATATGTAGTTGACAAATATCTATGACATTGTGACTCACTTTTGAGGCAATTTTGAAAAGTCTTCAATTTTCTGCTCTTGAAAATGATGTCAGAGCAGAAAATTATTGTCTTATGCATGCACTTGTGTAATAAAAAATTGTATGCAATCACATGCTTCATGTGGTGATTTTTCTACAGTGGTTTTTGAGGGCCTGTGATAAAATTTTTAGTCAGATGGATAAAATGAGCATGAGGATCTCATGGAAGCACAACTAAGTAAATCAAATATTTGGTGAAAAATTATCACAAAAAACTAGTACATGTGGAAAATTTCCTCCACATGTACTAGTGTCCTCATGTGATCACAGATTAATATTAAAACAATTGAATGAAATTTTAACTTTTTATGATTAATATAAAATTATATTTATATTATAATTAAATTAATGTTATAATTATATGAATTTAATTATATATCTAGATGGAGATAAATCCCTTGATTCACCATGTCCAGATTTTGGAAAATTTTTATATTTTCTCTTTGTACCAACACTTATTTATCGAGATAATTATCCTAGGTAAATAAATTAATAGTCACTTTGTATTAAATTTAATTGCTTAAAACAAATATTTTCAATTTAAAAATTAGTTTAGGTTTAATATTTAAATTCTTTAAACAAAACAATATTTTAATTTAATTATTTTAAGAAAGTTTCTAATTTATAAAAACTATTTTAACAGTATTGCATAAAGTTTTTTATTGAAAAGTAGAAATTCTTTACAAAAATAGTGCCCAATAGTAAAAAATTGTTATATTCTAATGATATAATAGAACATTCTCTTGGTATATTTATCTAAATATACCAAGAGAAGTTGGATTTGAAAGGACAGATTTCATTATCCAAGAAATAAATAATTAAAATTTTAACTTGAGGAACTTTTAAAAAATTTGCAAAGTAGATGGAGAAGAGCCTGTAAGGAAAGGTTGATTCTGCTACTGTTGACTGTTTTCAGACAATTAGAAAGGAAAATGTAGAAAAGTTCAAAACAATTTTTGAATTAATAGTTTATAATTTTACAAGATCAAAATTTAAATTTAAAAAAAATTTGGGAGTTTGGACTGGTTATCTGCACAAAATTATGATAAATTAAGAAAATTTTTTTTAACAACACGTTATTTTATATTATATTTTTAACAAATATAACATATCTTTATAATTATCTGTAATATTGTATAATAATAGTTTTAGAAATTTCTATTAAAATATATTTTTTTTAAAATAATGTAATTATTTAAATTTTTAGGACCTCAACTGTATGTTGGAAATATGTTGCTGTGAATTTCATTCAAGTTCTTGCTTGTCTGTTTTATATATATTATATATTCCAAAGATTCTGTGTGCCAATTTTTCGTAGATTTGGCCATGAAAGATTTACTCCAAAAGGACTACTACTATCAGTTTTTGGATGTATGATGCCAGGAACATTAGTTTTGTTAATAACTTTTTTTGCGCTACTTCATTCTTGGATGAATGCTTTTGCAGAAATGCTTCGGTTTGCAGACAGAATGTTTTATAAGGTAATAATTATAGAGAAATATGTTTATGAAATGTTAATTGATACTTATTATTGATAATTAGAGTATTAATATCACAGTTAATAACTAATTAATGAATAAATTTAATGAGATATTTATTAGACATAAAATACAGAATTTTATCATTTTTAACTCTAACTTTTTAAAATTTATTTTAATTTAATTATTTTAAGAAAGTTTCTAATTTATAAAAACTATTTTAACAGTATTGCATAAAGTTTTTTATTGAAAAGTAGAAATTCTTTACAAAAATAGTGCCCAATAGTAAAAAATTGTTATATTCTAATGATATAATAGAACATTCTCTTGGTATATTTATCTAAATATACCAAGAGAAGTTGGATTTGAAAGGACAGATTTCATTATCCAAGAAATAAATAATTAAAATTTTAACTTGAGGAACTTTTAAAAAATTTGCAAAGTAGATGGAGAAGAGCCTGTAAGGAAAGGTTGATTCTGCTACTGTTGACTGTTTTCAGACAATTAGAAAGGAAAATGTAGAAAAGTTCAAAACAATTTTTGAATTAATAGTTTATAATTTTACAAGATCAAAATTTAAATTTAAAAAAAATTTGGGAGTTTGGACTGGTTATCTGCACAGCACCACCATTGGAGTTACCTAGGTACACTTTAACCACCAGGTGTACTGTGGTGGCATTTTGAATTACACAAAATCATTTTTTTTACACTGGCACCTATTTGTAGTACATAAATCAGTTCAGCTTAGGTCAAACTGGGATAAACTAGATTATCCTAGGCTAAACTAGTATATCCTGACATGTGTAGGACAAACTAGTTTGGCCTGAAATCAGGTTTGGTCGGTAACATATATAAATGGAACAAGTTGATGACTAAATTAGGCTCATGTTCAAAATTAAATGCAAGTACACACAAACGTAAGTACTGTACATGGCAAAAATGCAGAAATGAACAGCCCTCCATCACAACAAATCATCCAAATGCCTTCTATGAGAATTGCATAAGCCACTCGTGTATCAAACATTTCCTCACTGTCAGCAGTTGTAGCAGACAATTTTTTGACAAAAATGATTTCACTGTATAAATAGCACATTACATTTTTTCAGACGGATGTACTGCTATCATGTCTCATTTGCATGACACTTGCATGATAAGATGTAACTTTGCTGATTTACATATGATGAAAATTTCAGGTACTCGCATTGCATGATGTTGATTTTATACAGGTTTTGTTTGTGTTGCTTTAATTTTGGACACTTTTATATAAAGAGGATTTTGTTTTCTTTATATTGTATGAAAAAGAAACATGTAAATTTAGAAAATAAGGATTAAAATAGTAAAATATTTTAATAAAATAAAATATAGATAATAAATACATATAACAAATTTATTTTAATTATAATAAATCAATTAAAATTTTTAAGCAATTACAGTAAGTTCTAAATTAATCTTTCATAACCAACCAACACAATTTGAAATTACATAAATACATGAATAGAAATTAAGTACACTATTTTGCACTGCATGTTTTGGGCTTTCATTGTCTATACTCAGCTGATGATAAACAGCAAAAAACCAACATACTCTTACACTCTTTTATTCTCATATTCTTACCAAACATCACCTTCAAAAAATGCGTTGCAAATTTTGATGAATAAATATGGTGTTTACAAATTATTCATTGATTAGTGACAAAGGATTCATCTAGAATTTATAATATAAAAAAAGAAAAAATAACATTGTTCCAGTTAAAAATAAATTACAATACAGATAAAAATATTATATTAAAGCTAGCATTTTGTGTGCATTGAATCATGTAACAGAATAAATATATATTTCTGGTTGAATGTTGAAGTTATTTTCTAAAGATTATGTTGAAAATAAAGAATTTTAAATAATATTAAATAAATAAAAAAACCTTAATAAAATTTAAAAATATATAACTGTCGTCACAAAAATTTCAAAGCTTGATTAAATTTGCAGAATGCAATTTTTGAAGTCATAGCCAAAGGTAATCTATAATCTTCTAAATTTAGTTTTAGAGTTTTGAATAATAATAATAAACAGAAAACACAAGTGTCTTAACTCATCTTCAAGCATACATGCATTAAAAAAAAATCAAATTTAACAGTTCTAACAACAATTTTTCAAATTTAAACAATTACTAAAAGTTCCAAATGAAGCTCACAAAGAGAGAAATTCATTTACTCTACCAGACTGAGATTAAAGCTTGTCTCTGTTTATATGATCTAGGTTTGGTCTGTATTCTATGTATTAAATAAAACACAGATAAATGATATAATTATTACTAAAAAAAGTTTAGTAGTAAAATAAGATAAATAGTTAAAATAACAGTTATGTGTAAATAAATGATGAAAACTAATATATTTTATAATTTAAAACGAATATTAAAAAACTAAAATTTCAGTGAAAATATGCAATTTTTTCCTTACACTTCTGTAACAATCACTAAGGAATAATAATATGCTGTCACTATTAGAAATTATTGATAGGTTCCATCAAGATCAAAACATTTGTTTTAATTTTTAAAAAAGTGTTGATATTTTGAAAAGCTTGAATATTTTACAGAAATTTTTTTCCTTATTCCACTTCCTACTGAAATCCACTGCTTTNCGTACTTTTCCTTTGTTTAAGGGTATTTGGGCAGTTTATTCTCTGTTGTATTCTCAAGTAAATAATACATACAAGTACAATACAGTATTTTCTGAGGAAACACTCATACTTAGTTTTTTTAACCCCATTCCCGATAACCCGGCATTTTCACAAACTCAGCCACCCTTTGGTTGACATTAGGCCGATTTTTTGAGGCTCTACTGTACTACTTAACAGCTAGACAGACAATGCAAAAAGCAAACGAAAGCAAAAAGCAAATGACAAACTAGACAAGATGAATGGACTGACAGAGACAAATAAGCAAGACTCCAAAAATTTATTTATTTATTATTATTATTATTTTTTTTTTATGTATTTATTATTATTTTTAAACATTAACTTACTCACTCACTAAACTAGGATGAACCTAACCAGATGGGCTAACAAACCCTAATCTAATTAAACCTAACCGGAAACCAAGCTAAGAGTCCCTAATCTAACTTACAACCAGGACTAACCAAATTTAGACTGAAAAAAGAAGACAGAAGATAAGAATTAAAAATACAAAGCTGAAAGGCAGCTATATATTGACAGTTGAAAAAAGCAAGGAAAAGCTAATTGCCATCTGTGCCCCCAGAGTGAGTGCTCTCAAGAGCCTCACTAAGGGATATGAATGCGAGCATATGATGGAACATTGTACGTGTGTGAATGAGTTGGTCCAGGTTTCAAGGCCAGTTGTACCCTTCGAGAATAGCAGCTCTCATTAAACTATCCCTAATGTGATTGTACCTATTGCAGCAAAAACCTAAAGAAGTGATGTTTGGTTCTCCTGAGTCCCACAATCGCATTGTGGATTGTCTCCAAAGTTAAATCTATGCAAGTAGTGCTTAAAGTTGCCATGTCCTGTAAGTAGCTGAGTGAGGGTGTACTAGGGTAAAAGTGGCAAAGGATTGCAGCAGTGTCAACCTTGGGGATGAAAGTGAAGGTGAGCCTACCAGTAGTGTCATGGTTCCGGCTGTCGTGCCAGGGAATGAAGATTTGCTTCTTGATGTGATTGTTGATGTATGAGGTAGGAATATAACTGAAAGTACTAGTGACTGAAGACTTTGCAGCTTGTTTGGCAAGACGGTCAGCGGTCTTGTTGCTGAGAACCCCTGCATGACCAGGGACCCATTGGAAATCTATTCTAATGTTGTTGTCTGAGTGTCTGAGAATGTGGTGTATGAGATGGATGAGTTTTAAGCAGCTATCAGACTTCAAAATCCTGTGTAAAGCTACCCCATTGTCAGAATAAATGTGATAGTGTAAGTAGTGTCTTTTGTCCTTCCTACGTCTAATGTGAATTAAGCTCATATAAATAGTTAAAGTTTCCGCCTGTGTTATTGAGCAGTGTGTACCTAGATGGAAGCAAGTGTTGTGAAGCTTACAGCGTAAGTTGGAATAAATTACAATAGCAGCACCCACTTCATCTTGGAACTGTCAGCATAAATCCTAAACATCGGATGATCACTTGGATCTTCAAAGTAAATGTCAGGGGCAAGCTGGTGGGAGGGGTGGTAATCATAAGTCAGGATGGTATTTTTGTTGATGCTGAATTTTTTGATATCATTGATCAAGGTCAAACTGGGGGAATCTTACCTACTCTATAGCGACTTGGGTGCCGACAAAATGATTAATCCCACCAGGATAAGGTGATGAGATTTTCCTGTCAAATAATTTTTTTTATTTCTAAGTTGACAGAGGTCAACCCTGACATTATCAAAAGGGCACTAGTGGGTGTGGTCCTATAAGCCTTACAAATGTTTTTCTGTACATTTATTAGCTATATTATGGCTATTTATATATTATATTATGGCTATAACCACAACATTTTTAGCAGCATGTGAGAGGAATGTAGTCATCTACAGCTATCATTGCCCATTGCACATTAATATACTGCTGTTGAATTAGCGTATTTCTGATACTAGGAGTTACCTGAAGGACACTGTGTAATCTAGAAGTGTCTGTTGTGTTGCAGTTTATTTCGGTTAGAACACAGCAAGAGTCTTGAAATTTCTGGAGTGTGTGTGTAGTATTTATTGCAGTGTTCTGGATGTGGAGTTCTTCTATGAAGGCACTGGTGACAGTGTCGCCTGGGATGTTTAACAGAATAATCTTAGGTTGTTTTGCTGCTGAGTATCTGATTTCCATTAACGTTTTTACCAAGTTTATGCAACCACCATTTTGTCATTGTCAGCCTTTGTATTTAACTGAATGCAAACTCCATTATACCTAATTTTCTTGAGTGCTTTAACTGAGATTCCCGACTAGATTTTATGTTCATAGTGAGTGTTTGTCTTATTTCATCCTGAGTGATATTAATGCTTTCTTTTGGAAAAACAAGAACCACG